AAAGTTCATCAACCACTCGCACCAACAGAGGTAGTCACAGGGCTGAACTGAAGTGTGTTGTGTGTGTGGAGTGGTTTTTGAAGCGGGGGGCACGCTGTTCATGTTGATGCGCCAACTTTTTGTGCATGTTGGCACACAATGTTGACCCGAGCCACTTCCTTTTGGTTTGATGAAAATACAGTAGTCCCTCGCTACTTCGCGGTTTGTTTTTCGCGGACTCGCGGTTTTTCAAAGTAAGATTGGGCATGACACACAATTGGCTGAATGATGGATGAGCCGCACAATCGACATGAAATTTGTATTTAAAATGAATTATTTTAAATTATTTAGCACCTGCTGCACGTTTGCATGTTTTTCTCCGCTCTGCAGTGGAGAAGTGGGCGTGGCCGAGAGCACTGGCAGATGGCAGCGTGCAGCCGGAGGCAGAGAGCTGAGATCATGACATGCTGTGCTCTTTTAGAGTTTAGAAACGTTGTTTAGAATATTGCAAAAGTGTGGGAAGGGTTTAAAACACCTTTATATACATATAATAAAATAAACTACTACATACTACTTGTACTACTATTCCTACTTTGCGGTTTTTCACTTACTGTGGGTCTTCAGGGTACCCCCTGCGATAAATGAGGGACTACTGTAGTTGTGGATTTGTGTTGATAAGACTCAGCCACGTGAAAGGAACTATTCTTTAACTGTGAGGAAGGTTTAAATAAAATCCAGTACAATTGAAAGTCTTTTAATTCTATTCACTTTCAATTCAGTTTATTTATATCGCGCCAAATCACAACAAAGTTGTCTCAGGGCACTTTACAGGAACATTCACATAAAAGCCACTAGTAAAGTTCTCTATCTAAGGAATCCAGCAGACAAGTTGAATCTTGGCTTCGTTGCAGTCTCCCATCCTGAGCAAGCACAGTGGCAACAGTGGAAAGGAAAAACTCCCTTTTTAAAAGGAAGAAACCTCCAGCAGAACCAGGCTCAGGACAAGCGGCCATCTGCTTTGACCGGCTGGTTTGAGAGGTCAGGAAGGAGAGACAGACGAACACAGAATGGTAGTTCCAGGTATAGGTCCAGGTGTATCTGAAAGACAAAAAAAAAACATGTTAAGGATAAAAAAAAATAATTACAAAGACAGTAGCAGAGTGAAAGTGTGGTCAGTTTGTCCTCCAGCAGTCTAAGCCTATAGCAGCATAACTAAAGGACAGCTCAGGAAACAGTTTTATAGTGTCATGACTTGAATCTCTCCTGTTTGTTGTTGTTTTGAGTAATGCTAGTCCGGTTTTCATTTGTTACATGGTGACTTTGTTGTTATTCAGCTGAGTTATGTCCACTGTTTTGTTCTTCTAATTGTCTCAACTACTGGAGGTTCTCTGTTGCTTCTGATCTCTTAAACCCCCTCAGCGACCACCTGATTTTATTTTCTAATCAAACCACCTGTTGTCACACTTTGGTCTAGTTCCTGAACTTCTGTTAGTTGTTATGACACATAACACTTAGAACTAGTAAAGGAACTTTTGCCTTTTTTTGTCTGGGGACTGGCTCATTTGGCTCAGCTCACCGATTAGAGATGGCTCTGTTGGCTCAAACATAGCACACTATGGTTGATAAATTGCACGAATAAAGGCAGAAGCACAGGAAAAACAGTTGTTGTAATAGTGTTGGTTTATTCTTCAAACAATGGACAGAGCTAGAAACTGATGACGAGGCTGACATTTTCTCTGTCTTTGTCCAGTCTTTGTGGTGAGTGAAGCTAACTGGCTACTCTGCAATGTAACCGTCTTCTTGGCAAGTTTGTGAATCAAATGAAGGCGTCATTTCTTAAAAGTTTACCCTCTTTTCTTAATAATTAATAGCCTAAAATCAGCTTGTTTCCAAAAGATAAAGTAGTGTCCGCAACATTTGGTGCCCTTTTTATTTGCCTTTAAAATGCAACGATCAAAGAAACTTTTAAGGTTAAGCGCAACATTTCTAGACTCATGACTTCACGTTTACTTTAAATAAGTTTGGAAGAAGCCAAACTCGGGGTTGATCTGTGGCTTTGCTCAATGAAGGCAGCCACATATGAACATAAAAAACAAATGTGCATGAACAAAACAGCCATTTTAGCCTAAAAGTGTCATGATCCTGCTGAAAACGTCATCAGGCTCAAACAAAAACCTGCAGGAAAACTTTTCCAAGCAAGCCACACTATCTCCCTCCGAACTAGACGTAACGCCACAACAAGCCTGCTGCCATCTTGCTGCCTTTTTGATGTTGGAAACAATTTATATTTTTAATCGTATCAAAGAAAAGGTATGTGGTCATCAAACAGGGGAGGTGTTTGCTCTCAGCCGAGGGGCCCTCTCAGCCAGACGCGCTGCATTTCTTATTCCATTTTATCTTTTTTTTTTCCTAAACTAATGTCAGTAACAGCTACCGGTAATAAAATGCTTGTTAGAGTTTGTGCCGTTGCCTCGCAGCGTCAGCTTTGATACATTGTCAGGCTATTTTGCCAGTGTTTCCTGATTACCTCGCCGCCAACCGCATGTTTATTGATTGGGAGTTAATAAAGCGGAGGGCCGCCGCTTATTTCGTATTTGCAGAAGGTGAGGCTTCCTTTGATGTGGAGGAGATGCATTGTCAGGAGACATAAATGCGCGGGTTGTAATGTCAGCTTTGCTCCTAGGCTCCTGTTTTGCATTGTGCATGCAGCGCTGTGCGTGGAAGTTCTTATTGTGGTTGTTGGAAATAAAATTATCCATCCATCCATCCATCCATCCATCCATCCATCCATCCTCTTTACTCGCTTCTTCAACTAGAGAAAGTGCATTTCCTGTGAAAATGCAACGTGAATGTTTATTGCTGACGAACTTGCTGAGAAACAACGGACATTAGCTAAAAAAAAAACTGAAGTGGAAGAACAAGCTTAAATTAGCAGAAGCAGAAAGATCACATATTTGCTGAATTATGTATAAATAAGCAAGAATGAGCATAAAAATTAGGAAATTAGCTATAAAAGCTCAAATGATCAAAAAAATGGCTGAAAAGTAGCTGAAAGGCAGAAGTAAGCTTAAACTATCAGAAGGAAGCCGAAAGAGCTGAAATGAGACAAAAAAAGTGGAATTAGCTGAAAAGGTTAATTAGCAAAATAAACACTAAATAGTAGCAAAAACAGCTGAAAATAGCATTACTAAGCTGCACATTACAAACTGAAATTAGTAGAAAGAAGTTTAAGATGAAAGTAGGAAAAATTACCACAAAAAACTTTAATTTACTGAAAACAGTCGAAATTAACCAAAAAAAATGCCAACAAGGTAGCTGAAAACATTAAAAAAAAAAAAAGCTTAAATTAGCAGAAGAAAGCAGAAAGAACACGTTTGCCCAATTAGGCTGAAAGGAGCAGAAATGAGCACAAAAATGTGGAAATTATCTGAAAAAGATAACATTAGCAAAAAAAACAGCTTAAAAGTAGCTAAAAAGGCAGAAAGACGCTTAAATTACCTGAAGGAAGTGGAGAGAGCACATTTTTTGTTGAACTGGGCTGAAAAAAGTTGAAATGATTGCAAAAATGTGTAAATTAGCTGAGAAGCTAAAATTAGCATGTACAGCTAGTCGCTGAAATAACTGAAACTTGCAGAAATGAGCTGAAATGAGCAGGAAGAAGTTAGAAGTACAAAACTGTTCTAGTTATCGCAGAAAGAATCTGAAAGGAGCACAAAACTGCTAGAAAAACAGCTGAAATTAGCTGAAAGTAGCTGAAAAATGTTTAAATTTGCATAAGGAATCTGAAAGGAATCTGGGGGAGTGGTGACACAGAGGTTAGAGAAGGTGGGCCTGTGATCGGAAGCTCGCCGGTTCAAGCCCCGGTACCGACATCAAAAATGTGGGTGGGGTAGGTGAAGCACCCACCCCCACCGTCATTCGTCCCACTCTGGACCCTTGAGCAAGGCCCTTAACCCCCACCATCTGCTCCCCCGGGTGTCCTAGATAGCAGCTCTCTGCTCCACAGTGTCCGGCGTAAAAAATAACGACCAAGTCTTCGTGCGACTTAGTTCGCTGTGACGACCCCTAAAATGGGGAGCAGCCGAAAGAAGAAGAAGAAAAAAAAGGAATCTGAAAGAAGCCGAACCAGAACAAAATGTGAAAGGAGCAGTAAAAGGTTATAAACAGATCTAAAGGTTTGAATGATGTAAAATGAGCTCAGTTTTCTATGAGAAAAAAATTGCAAAAAGACTAAATATTTCAAAAAGCTTAACAAAAGTCATAGCAGGATTGTCCCGAAAGAGCTGAACATTTTTGATATGATTGAAAACTGCAGGACGAGAACGGCTCCGAAAAACGTACGTAAGAAAACTGGATCACAATAGTGTGAATGCTTCATAAACATTCACACAAAAAGAAATATTGAGGTGTTGGGGAAAAAAACAAATGGGGCCAATTACTAACATAAGCTGCAGGCAGTAGGTGACTGTCTGTAATGCTGACGGTTACGTCCACAGTATATCTTTGCATCTGGCTGTCTTGATGTGTTAGTGCCTTTATGGCTTTATGGTCACAGTGAGCCTGTCATCTCTGAATCTGTTTGTGCCTGCTTCCATATCACTTCTTCCATACAGTCCATCCCCATGACAGTCAGAATGGTGATTCAGTCCCTTACCAGCTGATCGTCTTTTGTCTCTGTCCTCTCCAGCTTCTCCCTCTGCTGTTTATTTCATTCCTTCCCCAGACGCTTACCGCCTTGGATGATTTTCTGCCTCCTCCTTTGGGTGTCTTGTATCCCCCTCCCTTTCCGTCCCACCAAGGTGCACCGAGCCGCCGGTCATGTCAAATCAGAATAACATCTTTAAAAATTCAGTCAACGTTAGCCCCCCTACAAACAGCCGGGGCCTCCTTGTTGTCTATTCATGTATTCAGGTGTACACTGTATCATGGAGGACATGCATTCTGAGCGCGAGGGACATGCTAGTTCCATCAAAATTTGATGTATTCATTCATAGTCGCCTTTAAACTCTGTTTGTTTGCAGATAAGCGGCGTGTTTACCAGGGGATGGGTGAAGCGGGCAGGCACATGCAGATCGGTTTCCTACCAGACAGGTAGTGGCCCCCCACACCTGCTGGCCGTGTAACCCCTGCAGGGTCCCCCCAGTGGAACGTAAGCTGCAGAATACGACAAGGTGGTTCCATCTTTCTGCTGTCCATCATTTTGTGTTTATCTTGATGTGAAGAGGTATTTATGAGGGTGCCGCTAACGTGTCCATCATATGTATTCTGTCCAAGAATTCCTCCAGTTTCCACCCTGGGTTTGTTGCTGCAGGTACATCGTTGTTTAGTGTCACATTCTTGGGGTCAAACCAAACTGTTATGGCCTCGGGCTTGCTCCGAGGCTTGTGTACCATTGTGTTTGCTGATTACTTTCACATTCTAACCCATTTTTTTTGGCGTTTTTCCTATAATCCTCCTAATAAAAATACCCAAAGGTGTATTAACAGGATTTGAACAGGACGCTCAATCTGAAAATAAATTGTAAATAGAAGGAGTTCAACTTAGATTCACTGGTATTCCTTCCCAATCTCTCAAAGTATTCCAAATTTTTGTCATGTCAACATGCACCATAAACAGAAATACTTGTGTTTACGACACTGTGTTTGTGTCAATTAAAGCCAATAAATTATGCAGACATTTATCTCGGGTGCCTGGGGAATTTTTAATCAAGCCTCTTATTTGCTTTAAATTAGCACAGTCAAGTGTGTGTTTGTGTAAAATCCCTGATATCATTAAAGATTTATCAGTAGAAAGTCTGTTTGGGTTGATTTTGCTGGTAATTGGCAAGAAGACGTGCTGTGGCTTCACACTCAGCAGCAACAAGTGCTCGTGTGTCAGATGCACCGAAACGTTGGCTTCATCTGAAGCAGGTTGTGGTGTTTTTTTTGTTGTTTTTCTGAACGCACACCAACAAGCTCCTTAATAACGTTTGACTGAGCCAGCATTTTTATTCCAAATACATTTCCTTTTTATTTTGGTTGCTCTTCTTCACATTCTGTACTGCTTTTTTTTTACATCAGATTTTATGAGTTTTAAATTCTGCATTGTCATCTGATGGTGCAACTGGACGTCTGAAAAGAATGTCCTCTCCTTGTTGATGACTTCCTGTTTTATTTTGAAACCGTTTTTTCTATGTGGTTCATTGCTTCAACCTCACTGTGCTTCCTAGCTTGGAACAATGAGCTCTCTGACTGCTGTCCCTTATGTTTTTGCTCCTTTTGTGAATAATAACTTATTCTTTACCCATTTCTTTCTCATTATTGTCTTTGAGTGTGCATTTTGGTCCCAGTTTTACAACAGTACACTCAGTCGTAAACCCATACAGAGATTTCTTTGGACTCTGCTTAACTGAACCAATGGGTTAAGCTAAGTTTAGGTTAAAGAGACATAACGTCTTGTATTAATATTCCAGATTTGGACTTCTCATCTGTATTATAAACCAAAGATAAGAAACTTTTGTAAACAACATATACTGTATTTTTCGGCCTATAACTCAGTTTTTTTGCATAATTTGCATGCCCTGTGACTTATACGCCAAAGCGACGTATTTATGGATATTTTCCATATTTATAAACAATTTTTGGCTGAGATATGACCCTTTTTACGCATTCTGACTGAAAATATTGAACACTACCATTTTCAGCCTCTAGATGGCAGTCGAGAAGTATGGCATGCCGTTGTTTCATGTAATAGGTAAAAGTGGCTATTAATGACACAATCAGCTTGCCATAGCCTGCCGCTGTCGTCTGCGTGGAGCAAACGTTAAATCAGCTTCATTTCGCTGCACCGCCCCGGTAAAATGCATCTTTTGACCATTGAAGTGCATTTATTAAATAAAAGTACAACTGAGACGCACCTTTACTATAAAGTTGAGCTAACAAATAATTGTTTTTAGGTGCTTATCTTGTTAAATTTTGAAGAAATGAACAGCGAGTCTCTCTGTGCGTTCATGTTTCTGCGTATCGGGTTTTTGAAAATGTAGCTGATTTCACCGTCAAAGTGCATTTATTAAGGAAAAGTTCAACTGAGACACACGTTTGTTATCATTTCGAGCAAACAAATAATTGTTTTTAAGTGTTAATCTTGTTAAATTCTTGTTAAAGTCCTCCCGTGCACGCTCCCACGGCTGCCATTTGGCAGCCAATCGATTTTTGGCACAACACTGACCCACATTTCCGGGTTGCCAACATTGACGTATAAGAAACGTGACATATCAGTGGTGACGCATAATAGATGTGACATATATGGCGAATCGATGTCTTTATGAATTTTTCCATTTTATTAGACTTATTTGGACTAATGCGATTTATAGGCAGAAATAGGCGTTTACGGCAGAAAATACGGTAGGTCCCAGCGTTTAAATACACATGAAAATCAAATTTTGGATGATAAAATGACTCCACGTCAAAGTAATGCTTTGTCTGCTATACGGTGTCCATTTTGGAGAACGCAGCGATCTTCAGTTATTTTCTTTGAGGTTAAATGTCTTCTTCATTATGTGATTCTTTTCCACAGACCCAATGACCAAAGGTAGGCAATAAATACCTTCATTGGTATTGCAACGTTAGCAAAATATGCATGTTTTAGTTCTTGAAGCTGCCACCATCTTTTCAGGAACACAGAAAAAAGCTTGAAGCATTTGTGCCAAAAAACCTTTTGGTTTACTCTACCTGTTTTGTATTCTTCTTTAAAATGATCATTTTCAGAGATACTAAACAAATCCACCAACTGTCAGTAATTGTTAAATATTGAGAAATACCTACAGGAAACTGAAATAAATTAGTTTCTTGTTTTGACACATTTAGTTTGAATTAATCAATTCTGTATTTTGCTTGTCTCAAATGACCAAAGAAACATAAGGATAGTCCCATTGAGATTTATTTGGCTTGTTATGATTGGCTAAAAGTAAAAGCATCTTTAGCACTTAGCAAACTAAAGATAAATCACCCATAGCAGCATAATTGAATTAGCATTTAAGAAATAATAGTACGGTAAACCAGATGGCGACCATATGGTTCTATAGCGTCTCTGAGAGGTTAAACTCAAGTCAAAGAGCAAATCCATGATCCTTGCACAACCCCTGTGAGCTCAGGTTCTTCAAACAGAGTCAGTTTTGTGAGCTCACACTTTTTCCTCTCGTTTCGTCTCATGAAAGTTGTGTGTCCCTCAGCAAGGAGCAGAAAGAGGTGACGGCAAAGCCATTTCTATTGTCCCGCTTGCTTCTGACTCGCTGTACTTTCGGGGGCCTCGTTTTAAGCATTTTGAAGCCATATAACAGCTGACGTGTTTTGTGAATATTTTCAAACGGCTCCCCTTTTGTAATGGAAATGGACGCGTCCGTCAACAAGCAGAAAAGCAGATGCGTGCTGAGCCGGATAGCCTGAAACTTTGTGGCACGGCTGAGCTTTGACTGCTGTGAAGCATTGTCATGTTAACTGCTTGTGAAATTGGTTTAAATCATATTTATCTGATATATTCTAATTTGTAAATGTAAATAATGACTCCTCTTCATACACCAAAGTTAGTCATGGAGTTCCTCAGGGTTCAGTGCTTGGACCACTACACTTTACCTTGTATATGCTTCCATTAAATAGTGTTAACTTTCAAAAAAATATATGAATGTTTCTGTTCAGTGCCTTGAGATGATCTCTGTTGTTACTTGGCACTATTTAAATAATCTGAATTTATTTTAATTGAATTGATGGTGGGTGCTGATGGTGGTAAACTGTGTGTGTGGGGCGGGTGGGGGTTGTTTTAGGGTTTCATTGACTGGGCTCGGTCGCACGCACATGCATCTTCTGGGTTCTCGTGTTTGTGCTTCAGTGCTCTCCTTCACAACTCAACCCCCCCCCCCCCC